GGAGGAGGAGGAGGAGGCGTGGGATGAGGAGGAGGAGGAGGAGATGGAAGGGGAGGAGGAGGAGGAATAGGAGGCGGATGAGGAGGCGGAGGAGGAGGAGGAGGAGGATGACAATGAGGAGGAGGAGGAGGAGCAGGACGAGGCGGGGGCGGAGGAGAAGGCCGAGGAGGAGGAGGAGAATAGAGGACCAGGATGATGATGATGATGCTGATGATGATGATGATGATGATGATGATGATGATGATGCTGCTGAGGATGGCGATGATGGTGATGCTGATGCTGATGATGCTGATGATGATCATGATGCCGATGCTGATGCTGATGAACATTATGATGATGATGATACTAATGATGATGATGGCGATGATGATGATGATGATACTGATGATGATGATGCTGATGATGCTGAGGATGATGATGCTGATGATGCTGATGATGCTGCTGATGATGATGCTGCTGATTATGATGATGATGATGCTGCTGCTGATGATGATGGTGATGATGATGATGCTGATGCTGATGCTGCTGATGATGATGATGATGCTGCTGATGATGCTGATGAATGATGATGATGATGATGATGCTGATGATGATGCTGATGATGATGCTGATGATGATGATGATGATGATGATGATGATGATGATGATGATGATGATGATGATGGTGATGATGATGATGATGATTGATGATGATGATGATGATGATGATGAGATGATGATGATGATGATTAGGATGTGATGATGATGATGTGATGCTGTGCTGATGCTGCTGCTGCGCTGCGATGATGATGATGATGATGATGATGAGGAGGAGGAGGAGGAGGAGGAGGAGGAGGAGGAGGAGGAGGTGGAGGAGGAGGAGCGAGGACGAGGAGGAGGAGGAGGAGGAGGAGGAGGAGGAGGAGGAGGAGGAGCTGGGGCCTCGGTGCCCCGCGGCCTCGGCTGCGCACACCCGCCTGGCCTTTCTTCCGCGCGGGCGGCGCGGCGGTGCGGGTTGCGAGCGGCGGGCCGCGGGCGGCGCTGACGCCCTTCGCCTTCGTCCCCGCACCCCGCCTGGTGCGCCGATCGATACTCCCGACGCTTCCCGCGACCCTTCACGCCCTTCGTCCTTCCGGGCTCGAACTAAACGGTGTTGTCGCGATGTCGCGGAAGGTTTTCGTCTTGACGTTGTTGTTGGCAGCGCAGGTGAGTCGACGACAGAGGGAGGGAAGGCGAGGGCAAAGCGACAACGGAGAGCACGGTTTCGTTCGAGCCGTGCCTCCCTTCCCCCCCTCGCGTGGGCACAGCTGCGGCTCCCCTTGTGGTGCAGGGCTGTCGCGCAGCTCGTCGTTTGCCTCCGCTGCAGCGCTGGCGGTGCGCACGGTTGTGCCAAGAGTCTGCTCGAGCCCTGCAGGAAGGCTCTCAGGAGCGGCGGGGCCACGACTGGCTGGCATCGGATTTGTCGTGGCCCTCACCCTGAGCGTCAGGGCATCGCGGTCGGGAGAGGGCCTGGGCCCCGAAGCACGTCTTGCCCATCGACGGCGCGCAGGCCCTTTTTTGGAAGCGAGGTGTATGCCTGGCCAGCAGCTGCTCCCTCTCTCCCCCTGCCTTCTCCCTGCGTGCTTCCTCTCTCCCTTCAAGCTTTTGCCACAGGTGTGGGATTCATGTACGACAGGTATTTTGAACATGGGCTCCGACCACAATGCAGTGCTTCTCAACTTGCGGCTTGCTTGTGCGGCCAAGCCTAAAACAAAGAAGAAAAAACGCCAATCCCTCCCTCCAGTCCCTACGCTCGTCTATCCTCGGTGCACTGCAGGATCTTTACCGTGGCAGGCGGGGCGGGCCAGAGCAGGAGGGAGGGGGAGAAGCGGTTGTGCAGGACTGTTTCGGATTCGTGGGTCTGACAAAGGTGACATAAGAGCTGGCGTGCAGGCTCCGCTGCCCCCGGCTTCAGACAGCAGGAGCGGGACCGACGTTTTGTGATCTGCCCTGGGATCGGATGCTACTCTGTGAGGTTGTGGGAGTTGCATGCTCTTCGGCTCGGGATTCCTGCTGCGCGCTGCTTCTCTTTCCCCCTACTCCCTTCCCCTCCCCTCCTCCTCCCCTCCCCCCCCTCTGCTCTCCTTAGCACCCTCTCCCTGTCTTCCCATCCTCGCCTCCTCCCCTCCGTCCTCTCCTCCTCGTTCCCCTGCGCGTCGCGCAGGCTTCCTGGACGTGAGTGACCACCTGACTGATGCAGTAGCGTCCCGGTTGCCGGCAGACATGACTGCCAAGATTTACGAGGCTCCCGCGAGCGCGTCCCCCTCCGCTCGCCCTCGCCTCTCTTCCGTCCTCGCCCGTCGCCCGCCCGCCTACTGTTTGGGCATACGATCACAATCGTTGGTGACCGCTACGTCGACTGCTCGCGAGTGAGCGTCATGGTGTGCCCGAGGCGAAACGAAGCAGAGAACAGAGGGGGACGGGGAGGTGGAGGGCGGGGAGGGGAACGGGAGGAGGGGAGGGTGGGGTCGGGGGTGGGGTTATGATGATGATGATGGTGGTGGTGGTGGTGGTGATGGTGGTGATGATGATGCCGCTGCTGCTGATGATGACGATAACAATGTTTGACGATGATGAGTTTGGTTAGGATCACGATCGTGATGCTTGTAATGATGCTGCTGCTGATGATGATGCTGATGATTGGTGGTGGTTGACGATGCATGATGACGAATGATGATGGTGATGTTGATGGCAACAACGTTGATGTTGATGATGGTGTGGCTGCTGATAATGATGCTTGAAGAACAGTGGTCACGATACTGATGATGCTGATGATGATGGTGATGGTGATGGTGATGATGATGCTGCTGATGATGATGGGGATCACGATTCTGATGATGGTGATGATGATCATGCTGATGATGATGCTTATTCTGATGATGATCACGACGATGATGATGAAGAAGATGATGGTAATGATGCTGATGATTCTGCTGATGATGATTATGGTGATGATGCTGCTGATGATGATGATGATGGTGGTGATGGTTATGATGATGCTGCTGATGATGGTGATCACCATTATGATGATGATGGCGATGCTGATAGTGACGATGATGATGAAGAATACGATGGTAGTGATGATGCTGATGATGCTGCTGATGATGATGGTGATGGTGCGGATCATGATGATGATTCTACTGCTGATGATGCTGATGATGCTGCTGTTGATGATGATTCTGATGATGATGATGGTGATGTTGATGGTGATGATGCTGCTGATGATGATGATGATGATGATGATGATGATGATTCTGATGATGATGATGCTGATGATGATGATGATGATGATGATGATGATGATAAGGATGATGATGCTGATGATGATGATGATGATGATGATGGTCATGGTGATTGTGATGATGCTGATGATGGTGATGATGATGGTTTATCATGAGGAGAACGAAGAGGCAGATGATGCTGATGATGATGATGGTGATGGTGATGATGATGCTGATGATGATGCTGATGATGATGATGATGATGATGATGATGATGATTATGGTGGTGGTGGTGGTGATGGTCATGGTGATTGTGATGCTGTTGATGATGATGCTGATGATGATGGTGATGATGATGATGATGATGATGATGACGACGAGGATGCTGGCGTTGATGCTGATGATGCTGCTGATGATGGTGATGATGTTCATGATGACGATGGTGATGATGATGGTGATGATGATGATGATGCTGATGATGATGTTGATGATGATAGTGCAGGTACTGATTATGATGATGATGATGCTGCTGATGATGATGATGATGATGATGATGATGATAATCATGATGATGAGGATGAGGATGAGGATGAGGATGAGGATGAGGATGATGAGGAGGATGATGATGCTGATGATGATGAAGATGAAGATGAAGATGATGATGATGATGATGATGATGATGATGATGATGATGATGATGATGATGATGATGATGATGATGATGAGGACAAGGAATACGTATGTGATGATATGAGTAGGGGGAGGGTTCTATGGGATTGCACTACAACGTGGTTCTGATGGGTGCTCCCTGGGTGTGTGAATGCCTGGTCTGCTGTAGTTTTCACAGCCACGCAAAAGTAATTGAGTCAGGTGCTTTCCTCCCATTGGACTCGCCAGTTTCAGGTGTCAGAGCAGCCGCTGCACAGGGCACGTTCGATGAAGTTCCATTTCAACTGAAAGGCGTACCACCAAGTGAAATCAACGTGCCCCCATCATTTAAGAACGCAGACATGTAAGCATGTCCATCCCACCAGCGCAGAAGCACACAGGTGAGAATGCGCAGGAACCTAGAACTCGACAGGTGACATGCGCTTTCAGAACAGTTCTTGGGAAAACATTGCAAAACGTGGCACACATGGTATTGTGAACAGCGTTCGTCTGATCTGGCCTCGGGCCAGGCTCAGCCCTTCCGCGAACCAAATACGCCATGCCACACCTGCACCTTCACGCAGAGGCCTCCCTCGATGTGGACCTTCGCGCCCGTGTCTTCCCCGGACGGCTTGATGCTGTGCACCGTCGTCGGCTTGATGCGGTGATGCGCCACGGCGATGTCTCGCGCAGCCTGCCGCCCACCCAGCACACGAAAGTGCTCTGGCCGAGCCTGCTCTTTCCACCAATGGTGGCCACTTGGCACCCTTCCCGAGAGGGCCCACCATGCGTCGCGTCAGCCTCGTCGCCGACAGCCGCCAGCCAGGGCGTCGCGCGTCATGAGTTCACAGCCCTGCCATGCACCTGCAGCTGCGGCCCCACCCGTGGACAAGGCTTCGCAAACTTCTCAGAGGGCCGGGAGACTTCCGAGCCTTTGAGAAGGCCCGCCCCTTCTCACTTCCTCCCCGGGTGCGCCGCTTATCTCAAGGTGGAGGGAATCATACGAGGACGAGTCCGTTCGAAGAAGCGAGTGAGGGGGGGTATTAAGATGAGCAGGAACACGTGAATATTGAGTGCTGACGATGAAGGGTCTGGGCAATGGGAGGGTGAGCAGGAGGATAAGAACGACGAGAAGAGGGACGAGTTGGAAGAGGACGACGATTCGATGGGTGGAGGGTTACGTGGTTGCAGCATGACATGTTGATGTTACTGGTTGAGGTTATGATGGTTGTGATGATAATGCTGATTGATGATGATGGTGATGATGTTGGTCTTGTTGATAGTGACGGCAATGATGGGGCAATACTGGCGAGACGTAATTTTGTTGGGCAGAGGGAGTGCAACGGGAAGGACGGAGAGAGGAAGAGTCTCGGAGGACGGACATGATCATGACGACGGGGAGGAGGAGGAGGTGGAGGAGGAGGCCGAGGAGGAGGAGGAGGAGTAGGAGGAAGAGGAGGAGGAGAAGAACGAGGAGGAGGAGCAGGAGGAGGAGCAGGAGGAGGAGGAGGAGGAGGAGGAGGAGGAGGAGGAGGAGGAGGAGGAGGAGGAGGAGGAGGAGGGGGAGAGAGAGGATATTTGACGTCCTGCCCCTCCCACCAATCCCTTCCCATTGCGCTGACTTCCCTTTTTCTGCCGATGGGTGTCATAGCGGACTCGGAATCCGACAAAAGGACCGCATCGTGTCATGCGCAAACACAAAAGGGGAGATGCACGCATTGGAGGAAGAGGTGGCAGATGAGCAGAAGAGGAGCAGGATGAGCAAGGAAGAGGACGAGGAGGAACCGCAGCAGCAGGAGCAGGAGCGGGAGAAGCGAGAGGCGCAGGAGGACCAGGGGGACGGCGGGGGGTGAGGACAGGAGCACGGGTGACGACGAGGAGGAAGCGCTCAGATCCAGAAGAGTGGCCCACGCTGGGGTGAGACCGCCCTTCAGACCGACAGGAGCAAAGCGCGGATTCTAAAACGAGGCCAGCGCTGCAGCGGGAGCTCGATCGTTGAAGGACCTACAACGTTCGGATTGAACAACACATCCGAAACAAGAACAGATCCGTACCACTGCCGGGTGTAAGAAGCCCATGCGCGGAGGGAGGCACGCCACTCTCGGCCTTCCAGGGGGGAAAGATGGGCGATTATCAGTCATATCGTGTACTCCAGATTTCGTAATAAAAGGGAGGGGGTCTGGACCCTCCAAGACAAGCCATTTCAGACCTCCCCCGTGGGAGAACCCTCCAAAACATCGTCCCCAGACCCCCCCAGGCCCTCCAAGATAGCCTGGAAGAGACCCCCCCGAAATGAGACCCCCCTCCCTACGAAATCCCCCGTGGGAGAACCCTCCAAAACATCGACCCCAGACCCCCCCAGGCCCTCCAAGATAGCCTGGAAGAGACCCCCCCCGAAATGAGACCCCCTCCCTTTTATTACGAAATCTGGAGTAATCTCGGAGAGGCCACCTGAAGGCAGGGAAGCCGATCTGGGCTCCCTCCGCCTCTCCTTCTCCCCACGGGCTCGACGACTCGTCCACAATCGACTTACCAGAGCAGAGCCAAAGAGCGTTTATACAAGTCGACATGGTCCTGCACATGCTTAGACCGATCGAGGTAAATCCAAAGATTTCGAGAGGCATCTGGATAAAGAGTGGAAGTTCCAGCGCCGGCCGCGGAATTGTAAAAGTGGTGGAACTGGGGCCTCCCCCCTCCTCCCCTTCATCCTTCACCCCACCATATTCCTCTTCATGAACACCATCATCATTATCATCATCATCATCATCATCATCATCATCATCATCATCATCATCATCATTATCATGATCATCGTGATCATCATCATCATCGTTATCGTCATCATCATCACCATCATCATTACCATCACATCATCATCATCATCGTTATCACCATCATCAGCATCCTCGCCCTCACCATCAGTATCATCAGCATCATCATCATCATGACCACCATCATCATCCTCATCATTATTATCATCACCATCATCATCACCACAATCATCATCATCACCACCACCATCATAAGCATCATCATCAGCATCGTCACCACCATCATCATCATCCTCATAAAGTCATCATCATCATATAGCCATCATGACCACCATTACCATTACCATCATCGTCATCATCATCACCATCATTATCATCACCATCATCAGCATCCACCTCATCATCAGTATTATCAGTATCATCATCATCACCATCATGACCACCACCACCATCATCATCATCACCATTATCATCACCATCGTCATCAGCACAATCATCATCATCATCACCACCATCATCATCATCACCGTCATCATCATCATCATCAGCATCGTCATCACCATCATCATCATAATCATCATAATCATCATCATCACCACCATCA